TATGGTGTGTACAGTTGACACAGAGGGAAAAGTGGGCAGGAAGAAGCAGTATTTTGCTTGGTGTGGGGTTGCTACTTGCAGCATGCTTGTGGCTTGGGATTTCTGGCTTTTACAATCCATCCCCCCACCTTGTACTCCAGCTCTGGAGACCCTAAGAGATGTGGAAGGAGAGAATAAAGAAGCAAAGCCCCAGTGGGACCTTCTTACCTACAGTGATGGCATCGAAGGAAGAGTGGCAGTATTTAGGGCCCTGGGTTTCAGGGCGCCTTCCTTGGGGGCTGTGGGAGTCCCAGGCCTCAAAGTCAGTGAACAGCTTTCCTGGGAGCTGGACAGCCACCGAGCCCCCTAGGGGCTTCCCTTTGTGAGTAAGGAAATGAGAGAGAGAGAACACACATAGAGTGGAGGGTATGCTGTGCACTCAAGACCTTCCCTTGGTTACTTTCATGATTATTTAATATGAGGGGCAAGGAAGGAGAATGGGAGTGGGGGTTAACAGTTGTTGCTGGGCCAGGAGTGGTGTTTCACACCTGTAATCCCAGTACTTTGGGAGGCCGAGGCAGGCAGTTCACTTGAGGTTAGGAGTTTGAGACCAGCCTGGCCAATGGTGAAACCCTGTCTCTACTAAAAATATAAAAATTAACCGGGCATGGTGGCCCACACCTGTAGTCCCAGCTACTTGGGAGGCCGAGGCAGGAGAATCGCTTGAATCCGGGAGGTGGAGGTTGCAGTGAGCCAAGATCATGCCACTGCACTCTAGCCTGCGTAACAGAGTGAGACTCCGTCTCAAAAAGAAAAAAAAAAAAAGAGTTGTTTCTGGTTGTCGGTGCTAACCATCAAACTAAACTCAGGAATCTTCTCCTACCCAACATCCTGGGACAGAGGAACCTCCTGAGATAAAATTGGAGTGGGGTATCAAGCAAGGGTTTGGAACTAAAAGGGGCAGGGAGTCCTCTTCCCTGATTCCTGGGCAACACAAGTGTCATGAGGGCAGAGTCCAGAGACCCAGGCTGTGATAACTACAGCAATTATAATAATTACATCACTATCCTTCACTTATGAGAGGAGTGAAGCAGAGTCCAATCAGCTTCTTATTTGGTGCCATCACCTGAATCCCAGTCTGCAATTTCCTAGCTGCATGACCCTGAGCAAGTTGCCTAACCTCTCTGAGCCCCATTATTTTGATCTGTGGACAAAAAGAAGCATACTTCATGAGTGTGTTGCATGTCAAGTGCCTTGCCCACAGTAGGTACTCATGAAATAGTAGCTGTTCGTATTACGGGGCATAAGTTTCTCATGCTACAAAGCATGCGCATACCCAGTAGCACAACAGCCCTGTGAGGTAAGCAGGGCCTCAATTGTTATCCCTTTTCACAGAAGGTGAAACTGAGGGCTCACAGAGGGAAAATGCCCAAGAGCATCTGCTAATCAGGGATGGAAGGTGACTTGAACCCAGGCCTCCTGGCTTTGCCCATGGCACTCTGAGAGAGACAGCCCTGCGCTGAGATAGGTCCCAGGGCAGGAGCACTGGCCCACCCTGGGGAAGAAGACCTGGTCTGAGCCCATCACCAGGCAGAGGTGGGCAGGTTTTGGGGGTAGGGGGCATCAGCGTCATGGTGAGAGAAAGGCTTGGGGAGAGCTAGTGGCTGGGGCAGGAATGAAGGCTTTGGGGTCTGGGATGGGGGAAGAGGTGGGCCCGAGGATTGGGTATGGGTGAGGCGGCCAGGACATGATGTGAGCGGGAGCTCCGGAGGCTGGAGGTTGCGCAGAAATCCAGTAAGTGGAACGCAAGGGGCTGGGGCTGGGGGGACTGTGCACAGGAATTGGTTGGGACTGATGGAGAGATGAGGGCCATGGACTCGGGGGAGCAAGAGTCCGAGGTTTTTCAGATTTGAGGGAGGCATGGGGCTTTAGAATTGGGACGAATCGGCGACAGGGAGGCCAGATCTATGCGCTTAGGATGGGAAATCATATTTCAGGAGCTGGCGTTCAAGGACAGAAGGCCCGGGGGGCAAGGGTGGGACCAAGAGCGGGGCATGTCCGGAGGCCTTACCATACAGGCTCTGCACGGCCAGCACGTCGTCCCAGCTGAGCAGCGCGTCGCGGCCCAGCCTCTTGTAGTAGGGCGCCATGAGCGCGCGCGGTGCGGGCGAGTGGGTGAGGCCGAGCGTGTGACCGATCTCGTGCGCCAGCACCACGAACAGGTTGCGCCCGCGGCGGCGGCTCAGGGACCACCGCTCATCTTGGTCGAAGTGCGCTTCGCCGCGGCGGGGCAGGAAGGCGTGTGCCAGGGCGCCCCCTGCAGGCGGGGCAGAAGGTCAGGGGGTGCTACGGCCCACGATGCCCCCAAGTACTCGCGGCCCAGCGCAAATGCCACTGGGGTGTGTGTGGCTGTTTTCTGCTGTATAGTTTCCCTACTAAAGTCTGACAGAACCTGATGTGTGCAGGTGAACAGATGACTAGGCTGTGGAGGTCTAAGAGGCACTGTGGAGCAGATACGGCATGGGCCCACCAATTTGGGTGCCATACCTGCTTTTACAATCTACTAGCTGTGTGACCTTCAGTATTTAGTTTAACCTCTCTCTGTCTTAACTTCCTGATCTGCAAATGGGAATGATGATGGTAAGCTTCTTCCTCACAGAGTTGTTCTGAATAATAAGTGTTTATGTGCGTGTGTGTGCGTGTGTACATGTGTATTACAAATCATGCAGCAGGGTGCGGTAGCTCACGCCTGTAATCCCAGCACTTTGGGAGGCTGATGTGGGAGTAACACTTGAGTCCAGGAGTTCGAGACCAGCCTGGATAACAAAGCAAGAGCTCCTCTCTGCTAAAAACCAAGAGCATTAGCTAGGCGTGGTGGTGTGCACCTGTAGCCCCAGTTCCTTGGGAGGCTGAGGTGGGGAGGCTCTCTTGAGTCCCAGGAGGTCAAGGCTGCAGTGAGCTGTGATTGTGCTACTGCACTCCAGCCTGGGTGACAGAGTGAGACCCTGTCTCGAAACAAAAACAAAAACAAAAACAAAAAAACAAAAAAACATGAAACAACAACAACACAAAAGTGATCCTTGGAACAGTGCCTAGCACATAATAAGGGCTACATAAGAATTACTTTCAAAAATATCTAGAAGTAGGTAGAGTACAGTTACCCCTAAAAGGAGGCGTGATGGGACCTTCTGTTTCTTGATTTGGGTGCTGGGAGTGTTCAGTGTATGAAAGTTCATCAGGCTAAACTTGAGATAATTCACTTATATATTATGTATATTTTCTTTAATAAAAAGTATATATTTTTATTATTTATATATAATTATAATTAAATATAATATTTATAATTATAATTAATTTATATATATATATATATTCTTGCCCTCCTCTGCCAGGGCACCTCTGGGGGGCCTCTCTCTACTTATAATAGGAATGAGCAGAGGGAGTTGGGCCGGATCAGTGATTTTCAAGCTTTTAATGTGCCCCAGATGGAGCTTATTACATGTGCAGGTGCCAGGGTACCACCCCTAACGATTCACCTTCCACAGGGGCAGGTGACCCTGACACAGGAGTCAGAAAACTGCGCTAGGATAGTTTGCATAGAAGCTTGTTGAGGGTTCCTCCAGCTTTGCCTTCTTGGACCCCAGGCCAACTGGGACTGACAAAAATGGGGGGGCTGGACTAAAAGGAGAGCCTCCTGGGGGCATGGAAGGTCAGCCGTGTGTAGGAGGAATACATGCTTATTTTGAATACGCCTCCAGCTGTTTCAAGCACTGTTCACTCTATTCAGCTCTCACTGGGAGACAGATGGGCAGCTTTGGGAGAGGAGAAGACCACTATTCCAAAAGACAAGGTATCTGTCCCAAATCAGAGAGTTGCTTGGGGATCCCAAAGTCCTCACTCCCAGTGCAGTGCTGTCTTAACTAGGTATGGATAGAACCATCTCAGGTAGATCACATGGATGAAGTCAGTTACAAATAAGTGCATGTGTGCACTATATGTGGATTCTTGCAAAGCCTAGATTTCTCTTGGTCCTAATCCAGGTCCCAGCAGCAGGGCCTGGATGTGGGCTTTGCTGTAGGTGGGCTTGACTGAAAGCAGGAGGGTGCAAGGGAGATGGGGGCTCAAGTTCCCAGGCCATACAAGGGCTTAAGTCCCCAGCCTGAAGGGGTCTGATCAGGTTTCCTTTCTTCGTTAGGAGAGGAAATATGCAAATAGCCTATATTCAGGTTCTGAAGGCCAGCGTTGGGCAGAAGGGGAAGAGAGTGGTTTAAATTGCAGCCAGAACCTTCAGGTTGGGGACAAACAGAACTATCTGTGGTGTAGGTATATAAAGCACTTCCCTGTCAGGGTTGTCAGGAGTAGGGTGCCTCTTGCCCTGTGGCAGCAGCTGTGGTAGTTGGGGGTGGGGGAGCAGTGGTGGGCAGTGGATGTGTTTTAGGGCTCTGGAGTGAACATCCACTCTGGAGAACAAGAGAAGCACAGGACTGTCTAGAGGCAGAGGATGGATGATGGGACCTTGGGAGATTCTCGCAGAATGCATAATACTCTTTAGAATTTGCAAAGCATTTTTCTTGCAGAGCTTTATCTGACTGTCCGTTCAGACATATGACACATAGTAGAGCAGGGACCACTGTTCCCATTCTAGGATGAGGAGACTGAGGGTTTTTTGCAGGGAGATGTGGCTCTGCCAAAGCCACAGGGAGGGTGAATACTTCATTGCCACCCCCAAACTGCCTCTCCAAGTTGGGTTCCCCTCCTGCTGTGTGGGAGGGAGGCTTTGTGTCAGCACCTGGGCCATCAAAGGCGTTCCCCAGCCCATCGTTGTGGTCCCCTTGGAAGAAGGTGAGCCGGATGTCAGCGGGGCCTGTGGCTGGGGCCTCCCAGAACTCCAGCGCTGAGACGTTGCTCCACAACTGGAAGGCGGCGCGCACGGCGCCCCGAACTGCCGGCTCCGGCAGGCGCTCAGGCCAGTTCACCAGGCGGTAGGAGAGGTGCTGCTTGTACCATTTGTTACCTGCCACCCAGAAAGCCCACGTCAGTCACACCTGCTGCAGAGCCTGAGTCTGGTCCCCACAGACCCAGTATGATGGCGAGGTGTAGGCCCTCTCCCAGCAGCCCCTGGTCTGATGGGGAAGACATAGTTTTTGCCCTGGGCAGCTCAGGCTTTGACTAGGGCAATACTACCTGGCCGAGGGCAGCCCTCAGACTGAGAGGACTCCCCTTACCCTGGACAGTCCCCAATACAGTGGCTTGGACTGTGGAGGTCCCAGTGTGTTGGAGGGGATGCAGCCTCTGCCCAGGAGAAGCCCCCAGTCTGAAGGAGTCTGTCTGAACCCTTGGTCTAGGGTCTTGTTCTTCCCCACAGCCTGGACTGAGTCTGAAAACAGTTCTGGGTCTGTTGCTACCAGCAAATCCCAGCCCCCGCCTTCAGTGTCAGAGCGGAGGAGAGTGGGGCCACAGAGGCCACAGCTGTGACTTCCCCAGCTCCCCACCATCTCTCTTCAGGCCTCACACCCTCCTGCCACCTCTAGACACTTCACTCTGCCCTTTCCAGGGCCTGGGGTCTATGGCCAGCCAACAACCACAAGACTCATTCATTTGAGGTTCTTTCCTGCCCCTCTCCTCTTCACTCTGGAGAGCTCTGAGGTGAAAACAAATAAGAACAAAGGGTGTGTTTTGTCACTGACTGAGAGAAAGTTTTCCATCTCTGCTTAGTTAAGGGTTTTTCTCCCTTTGCTCCAAATTACAACTCCTCCCTGAGGGCTGAGACTCTGGCCCCTTGCCCCAGCCCCCATCAACTGAGTCTGGGCCCATCTGCAGCTCAGCATGAACCCGGCAGCAGCATGGCTGGAAGGGCCAGATCCCGAGTTTCTTGTGGGCTATTTCTGAGCCCTGCAAATCCCAGGGGCTGGGATTGTAACCTCAAGTGGAAGACTCATGGCTTGGAGGCAGGACTCTTGGGCCAAGGGTGTGATAACTGAGACCTGAGACCCCAGGACAAGGGGCCTGCCCAGGGTCCCAGAATGAGTGAGTAGCTGAGGCAGGCCCTGACACCTAATCCAGGGCTCTTCCATTATCCCACATAGACAGGCAGGCACATTTGCCAGGACTCCAGGCTTATAAATCTGCCCAAACATCATTCCTTCTGGTCAAAGCACGAGCTGAGATTCTCCAGATGTAAGGGAGGGTCTTGGAGAGCAGAGGAGCTGGATTCCCTTCTCCTCACCAATGCAAGTGGGGGAGGGGCACATCCCTTCTCCCACCCCTGAGTCAAGCTCCATTCAAGGCAATGCCGCCTCCCTGGGCCTGTTTGGCCTGGCAACCACCCAACCTCTGCCTCCCAGCCAGTGACCAACCCTTAACGAGGGGAGAGGGAATGGCTCTAAGGAAGCGAGGGAGACAAGGAAGGCAGAGGGAAGGCCTGGGGTCCAGAGGTGCAGCTGAGGGTTTGTGATGTGCCAGTCACACTTCTGCTGGGCACACTGTGAGTCTTCACTGGGCACCAGACTGTCTGGCGCTGGGCTCTTTCACACCCTGCTGTGGGGACAGACTCCCAGGCTCTTTCTTTCCCCTCACAAACCTTTAATTCACTAGCATAGTCTGAGATGGCTCCTTCCGCCTCTTTGCAGCTAGCGGGGCCCCTCACTTCCCAGGCAGAAGAGGGGGTGGTGGGCAGTTTTCTCATTCTAGGCCGCCAGTGAAGGTGACAGGTCTCAGAATAAAATCCTGTAGGAAACTCTGAGTGTGTGCATGTGTGTGTTTGGGGGAAGGATAGAGAGGATGAATAGGAATGGAACTTGAAAGAAAATGACTGTTTTCCTGAGAGAGGAGCAGGGTAGGGGGTGACACTAGTGTGTCTGCCAGGAAGAAAGGACCTGGCCGGGGGCCAGCAGCCTGAGCCCTTGCCCCTGTCTCCCTCCAGATTTGCTCCCATGGAGAAAGCTAACCGCTTCAGGCCCTGTCCCAAACTCCTGGCCAGGGAGGGCTGGTTTTCGTGGTGACCCCCAGGCCCTAGTAGCACCTGGCATTGTACCCCCTGACACCCTTGCTCCACAGTTCAAAAAGAAAGAAGGAAGGAAACAGTATGGGAAGGGGGAGGAGAGCTAAAAGCTTTGCCTGGACAGAACCCTGGAGTTCTGACTCCCAGCAGGGAATTGACACTGTAGAAAGAACATGGGTTAGAATCCCAGTATCTCTACTTGCAAACTTACATAACAAATTATGGAATCTCTCCAAGCCTCAGTTTCCTTATGTGCAAAATGGGGTTGATAAGACTTTCCCCATAGTAAGATGTGAGGCTTAAATGATATAGCAACGTGGAACTGCTGGGCATGTAGTGCATACTCAATAAATATACATTCCCCTCTTCTTTCCTTTTCTACCCAGATACACCCTGGTGCCCCCAGCCTCTGCCAGCTCAGTGAAGGAACAGAAGGCCTGCAGGTAGGTAGGAAGAGCAGGTACCTGCAGTGAGGTTGTCAGATGAGTTTCTTTTTTCTTTGTTTTGAGACAGAGTCTCACTCTGTCACCCAGGCTAGAGTGCAGTGGCACAATTTTGGCTCACTGCAACATCTACCTCTCAGATTCAAGGAATTATCCTGCCTCAGCCTCAAGTATCTAGGATTACAGGTATGTGCCACCACACCAGGCTAATTACTTTTTGTATTTTTAGTAGAGACAGAGTTTTACCATGTTGGCCAGGCTGGTCTCAAACTCCTGACCTCAAGTGATCCACCCGCCTCGGCCTCCCAAAGCGCTGGGATCAAAGATGTGCGCCACTGTGTCCAGCTGCCAGATAAATTTCTTTTTTTAACTTTAAAAAACTATTTGTTGTTCATCTGAAATTCAAATGTAATTGGGCATCTTATATTTTATTTGGCAACTGAGTAATACTGTCCTCTATCAAAAAGAGATGCTCTGACTGGGCACGGTGGCTTGCGCCTGTAATCCCAGCACTTTGGGAGGCCGAGGTGGGCAATCACCTAAGGTCAGGAGCTTGAGACCAGCCTGGCCAACATGGTGAAATCCCGTCCTTACTAAAAATACACACACACACACAAAATTAGTCTGTCATGGTGGCGTGTGCCTGTAATCCTAGCTATTCAGGAGGCTGAGGCAGAAGAATTGCTTGAACCCCATAGGTGGAGGTTGCAGTCACCCGAGACTGCGCCACTGCACTTCAGCCTGGGCAAAAGAGCGAGGCTCCATCTCAAAAAAAAAAAAAAAAAAAAGAGAGAGAGAGAGACATGCTCGAAATTGTATAGTGACGAACTCTATTAGATCTAATACCTTCCTTTGGGGCATGAGAAGGTGAGATACAGCCAGAAGGAAGCAGCCCCAGAGCTCAGGTCAAAGTATAGCTGTTGGACTGTTTCTGGGGCTGCCCCACTTTCCACTGCATTCTCACAACAAGCCCCTTCCACCTGCTAATCAGGGACCATCTCTCCTTTGCAACCTGGAAGGGCCTATGTCTCGGATGAAGGAACGGAACCTCAGTGAGCAAAGTGACCTCGCCCAGGCCACAAGCTGAGACTTGAACCCAGGGCCTCTGGCTCCAGGGATGCTGCTCTCTATTCTACCAGTGCCTCTTGAACTCACAGCTCTCTGCTCTTCTACTTCACTCTTCCTCTCTGTTGCCCAGAAACATGGTGGGACACAGAACATGTTGACACCAAGGGCATCTTGACTCTGGAGCCAGACCCCATTGCTGACTCCTTGCTTTACCAGGAAGGCAAGCAGTCAGTACTGAGGACCTAGAGTGGCTGGGCATATAGGTGAAGCAGAATTGGGTTGGCAAACACCTGGAAACAGCTGCCCTCCAACAGTGAAGGGGAACTGCCCACAATTTCCTTACAGGTTAGTTAAGAAATGAGAACAAACTATGTGCCTTCTGTCCTGTTCCTAATGAGTACTATCAGTAAAAGTAGTCAATTAAACACATTAAAAGTGGCAATGGCCCAAAGTGTTCACAGTAAAATTGATGATAGATGAAAATCTGGTTAAAACCCCCCATCTTGTTAGAAATCTTAAAAGCTGCAAAAATTGAGCAGAGAAAATTAGACTTAGTAAAAACAATCAGGTTGTTAATATTAGGCATGGTAGGCCAGGCGCGGTGGCTAATGCCTGTAATCCCAGCCTTTTGGGAGGCCGAGGTGGGTTTGAGACCAGCCTGGCCAACATGGCAAAACCCTGTCTCTACTAAAAATCCAGAAATGAGCCAGGCATGGTGGCATGCGCCTGTGGTCCCAGATACTTGTGAGGCTGAGGCAGGAGAATCGCTTGAACCCAGGAGGCGGAGGTTGCAGTGAGCTGAGATTGCACCACTGACTCCAGCCTGGGTGACAGAACAAGACTGTCTCAAAAAAAAATTATGCATAGTAAAACTCGCTATTTGTGAAAAACTGACAAAAGAATCAAATCTTCATAAATCTTAGATCTGTACCATTTAACCCCTGGAATATTAAATTTGGCTAAAAGAAGGAGGAGGAGAAAAGGAAGAAACAAAATAAAGCTACAAAAGGAAAATCATGACAGCAGAAACTGTAATGTGCAAACTGTGCTATGATGAAATGTTCAAAAGAGGCAAATCCACTGAGACAGAAGTGGATTAACGGTTGCCAGAGGCTAGGGGAAGGGGAGAAGGGGGAATGACTGCTAATGGGCATGGAGGTTCTTTTCCGGGTGATGAAATGTTCTGGAATTAGATTGTGGTAATGGTTGCACAATTCCACAAATATCCTAACCACTGAATTGTACACTTTAAATGGGTAAATTGTATGGGATGTGAACTATAGCTCAACAAAGTGGTTAAAAATATGCTATGGACAAAGTAAATCTTATGAATCACAACTTTGTTTAGTAACTGTTTGAAAAAGAATGAATTCTAATCCCAGCACTGTGGGAGGCCAAGACGGGCGGATCACGAGGTCAGGAGATCGAGACCATCCTGGCTAACACGGTGAAACCCCGTCTCTACTAAAAAATACAAAAAACTAGCCGGGCGTGGTGGCGGGCGCCTGTAGTCCCAGCTACTCAGGAGGCTGAGGCAGGAGAATGGCGTAATCCCAGGAGGCGGAGCTTGCAGTGAGCTGAGATCTGGCCACTGTACTCCAGCCTGGGCGACAGAGTGAGACTCCGTCTCAAAAAAAAAAAAAAGAAAAAGAATGAATTCTGATGAAAATAACTTCAGTAAATATAAATGAAAAATGTTCAATGCCCTGCATTGAAAATTGATCAAGGAATTACGTGGGTTTTGTGGGGTTTGATCTGGAAAAATACTTGTACAATGAAAATTCATCAATGTAGGTGTCATTCCGACTTAAAGGTCTGTATTCACAATCATGGTCCTCAAGCCAAGAGGTCCTATTCACCCACTCCTCCCGTGCCCTAGGGAAGAGAGGTTACCAATAAAGTCCAGTCCCAGGCTCAGCTGTTTTCCTAGCCATTGGCTTCAAGACTTTGGGAAATCTTAGCCTAGCCAGATTTTAACAGTGCTCACCTTGCTTTGCAAAGCGTTTCTTACGCCTCATTTTGGTCCGGTGTCTAGCAAACAGGTCACTGATCCTCTCAGCCCAGATCGCATAACTGTTGGTATCTGCAACCCCGCAGCGGGGACGAGTCATCTGGCGCAGGGTGGCGCGGTCCAGCACACCACTGACAGGTAGCTGGGACACCCACTGAAACGCTCTGTCAGGAGGAAAGGACCACAAGGGGAGGGTGAGTGGTAAGGGTGAGGGCAGGGAGGTCTGCCTCCCTGGGGTGTGGCCAGCCAGGCTTCCAGAAGGAGGGAGGAAATGGCCAGAGCTTGGCATCCTAGCACCCCTACCCCAAGTCCTCCACATCCCTCCACCCTACCTGATGGCATCGCTGAATCGAGTGGAGGTGGGAGCTTTGGGGACCTGTTCATTGAGGTATCCATACTTCTCTAGGAATGCCTGCGGGAGAGAGGAATATCTGCTGTTTCCATAGCATACTTTTCCTTTCCTTGGTCCCCAAGGGCCCATGGCATATACATCCTGCCCAGTCTCACCTCTTGTCTTTTGCCCAAGAGGGTCTATAAGCTATAGCAGAATCAGTCCTGGGATTAAAGTCAAAAGGACTTGGACTCAATTCCAGGCCACCACTAACTAGCTGATGATCTCAGGCAAGTCACTCAATATTTCTGAACCTTTGCTTCCTTATGCCTAAAACTGGGCCACTAGTACCTGCCCTGCAGTACCTACTGGGCCAGTGGTACCTACCCATATCTTATGGCATCGGTAGGAATCTAGCAGGACATGCTAGACAGTAGAGTAACAGGCTCTGGAATCAGGCCCACCTAGGTTTGAATTCCAACTAGTAAGATACTTCTCTTTTTCTTTTTTTCATTTTTTTTTTTTTTTTTTGAGACGGAGTCTCGCTCTGTCGCCCAGGCTGGAGTGCAGTGGCCGGATCTCAGCTCACTGCAAGCTCCACCTCCCGGGTTCACGCCATTCTCCTGCCTCAGCCTCCCAAGTAGCTGGGACTACAGGCGCCCGCCACCTCGCCCGGCTAGTTTTTTGTATTTTTTAGTAGAGACGGGGTTTCACCGTGTTAGCCAGGATGGTCTCGATCTCCCGACCTCGTGATCCGCCCGTCTCGGCCTCCCAAAGTGCTGGGATTACAGGCTTGAGCCACCGCGCCCGGCCAAGATACTTCTCTAAACCACAGGTTTCTCAACTGTAAAGTGAGCGCAATACTAGTACTTACCTTACAGGGGTTTTTTGTGTGTGAGGACTAATCACAAGAGTGCTTATAAAGCACTTAGCACAGTGCCTGTCACATAGAAGGGACTCCATACAGAGTAGCTATTATAATATGTGTTATGTGCATATACACTATTCATATGCATCCTGAAACAACTACATTCTCTAGAATATCTTCTGGTATTGATTAGGAGCTAATCAGGTGCTAGCTCTGCCATGGCTGGGTTGTGAATTGTCTAATTCTGGCTTAAAAAAAAAAACAGTTATCTTCCCCACCAATGTAGATATATTTATTTTGTTTTTGTTTTGTCTGAGATGGAGTTTTGCTCTTGTTGCCCAGGATGGAGTGCAGTGGTGCCATCTCGGCTCACTGCAACCTCCACCTCCTGGGTTTAAGCGATTCTTCTGCCTCAGCCTCCCAAGTAGCTGGGATCACAGGCATGCGCCACCACGCTTGGCTAATTTTTTGTATTTGGTAGAGATGGGGTTTCACCATGTTGGCCAGGCTGGTCTTGAACTCCTGACCTCAGATGGTCCACCCACCTCAGCCTCCCAAAGTGCTGAGATTCCAGGCATGCGCCACCGCACCCGGCCCAAATGTAGCTCTATTAAAGGTCCTAGAACAAGAAATGCACTTACCACTAACCTTATAATTGATATAAAAACTTGACTCTCTAAAAGATGTATTTTTTGAATTAGAAAGCTTCTTTTAGTCATTTA